ACACCTTCTGCCACCCGTTTCTACTACTGCAGTGGTCAGAAGACCCACCGCACACCGAGGAACACTGACCTGGCATTTGCCACAGGCACTGTCAAGCATCCGGGCTCCCCCACCTCCCCGCAGACTGGACTGCCGACTTCCTGTAGTTAGGAGTGTCGATTCATCCCAGCCCCATTCTACGCCACTGCCTCTAATCCCTCTCCACATGGAACTCTCTTGGGAGGTGGGTGCCATCAGGCAGAGACCTTGCTATTTTCTTCAGCTTCTTGTCATTCCCAGTTGAGACTGGGGAGTCATGTAGACTTTCATCCATGTCCTTTCTGAGAAGGACCTGAAGCCAGAGGTGATGGTGGAGCCCGGCAGCCCTCCACTCAAGACTCTTCTTGCAGGCTGCCCTTTAGTGGAGAATTGCCCTTAGTTCAGCCTTGCCTCTCATGACCATCGTGAAACTCATCTTTCAGATTTGCACACTTCTCAGCATCCAACTTTTTGTGTCTCAGAATCAGTGTTTTTGTTTCATTTGAAGGACCACTCCTGCTTTCAGCACACAAAATCCATTTGCTCAACCCACCCCAGTGCCAAAACACGGAGGGAACTTCTGCCTGGCTGACCAACACCCGTGATTCCCTGAGCTACAGAGACAGGCATGGAGTGGGCACTCACTAAGGCTCATTTCTGGAGCTTTTGCTGCACTAAAGAGTTCCCTTTCTTGGGGACATGGTCTGGTCATGAAGCTCTTGCTGTGTGACATCCGCTGAATGGCACTACAGACACGTCTCAGACAGAGGCATTGGCAGAAAAGCCAAGCCTAAAGAGGGCCTCAAAACTGTGGTGTGTCATCCAAACTGCTTTGGGGGCTGCTAGGAATACCCCTGGAACTTCCTATTCTCTCAGCCAGCATGTCCCTGTTTTGATTGTTTAAACCCATTTGGGTTTCTGTCATTTGCTTTAGAAAAAATGACACGTGATTACTCTTCATAAGGGTTGGGTGTGCACCTCAGTTGGTAAGGTGCAACTGAGCATGCTCAGAGCCCAACACTGTTTCACCAGGCAGGTAGCAGGGACCTGCAATACCAGCACTGAGGAGGTGGAGGCAGGATTTGTAGAAGGTCTTCCCAGCTATATAGTGAGTTCGAAGTTATCCTAGGATACATGAGACCCTATCCCCCCCACACAAATTATGCTTTATTAAAGTCTGTTCTAAGCTGCATGCTGTGGCTCACACCATCAGGATAGGAAGCAAACTAGGAGGAAACCAGTCCCTCAGCAGACTGTGGCTGCCTCACCTCGGAGGTTCCAGGACCAAGGACAGCACCCAGCACACTCTGGACAGCCGTCTGTCCTTCTGTTTCTTTCTTTCATTTTCACAACCCTGGCAAGGTAGAGCCAAGTTGTGTAGATGTATAGCTTGAGGCTCAGAAAGGGTACAATGTGTCTGATGCTTCTTATTTGGTAAAGACTCAAACCTGAAGTCACTTTAGAAACGTTTTCTGAGTGACTGAAGGGTGTTAGTCTAACAAATGGGACTTTTAGAGACACACAGTTCTATGCGCATGTGCAAACACACACACACACACAAACACACACACACACACACACACAGAAAGAGAGAGAGAGAGAGAGAGAGAGAGAGAGAGAGAGAGAGAGAGAATACACATACAGAGACAACCTTCCCCAGCCCTGTGACATTCATGACATTTCAGTCTCTAAGGTTTCCCTGGCTACAGAGCCCTTGTTTCTGGTTTCCCCACTGGGCACTTTCAGGTAGGTTTGTAGGGGGCAGAGAGTGCCAAGAAGGAAGAGGTGAGGGGATTGGACCATGCTGGAGCTTGGCACCATGCCCTCTGCAGATGACCTGATGAGTATTTTGCAGAGATAATTTCATTAGCGTCTCTGGGAGATGAACAATTAGCAAGATGTTAAAGCCCTGATGCTTTAAAAGCTGCAGAGAAGGAAGAGGACGCCTTTCTGTTCCCCTCCACCTCAATCTTTCACTCACATACTTCTCATGTTTCCCTTGCTCACTGCCATTCCCTCACAGAGGTACCTCTGCTCCAGCCTAGCCAACGTGCTCCCGGCCTCCTCCTCCCTGCTCCCTCCCTCTTCCATGCTCCCATCAGCCTGTGCTGGATCTCTGCCCGCATTGCATCAATCGGTCCCCTGTGCTCTGATCACTCAGACACCCAGGGCTGAAGCTTGGCATTGGTCCAGCCTTCCAAAGGCACTGCTTTTCTCTCTAAACCAGAGAGGGCAGCGCCAGGTAAGGCTTCTCTGTTTGGATTGATTTTGCTACCAGGTCCTTGGCAACTTCCAGTAGAGATTGGGGCCCCCTATTGCAACCCCAGGGCTGGTCCAAGAGGCAGAGTGGAGGAAAGTTCCTGCCACCTGTCCTTGTGCCCGGTACACTGTGTCCCAGGGCTGGGCAGGGACTAGTGTTCACAAAAACAAGACTTGGGTCAGCAGGAAGGACGTTTGTGGCTTTATCAGACAGATAGAAATGGGACTCCAGACACCCAGGTCAGTGTTTGTCTCTGACTACAGCAGTGTATCTTGGTCTTGGGGACACACCTCTCATATGTCTCATGTGTCTTGGACATAATAAGGGCTCTGTCCATCCAGCAGCATTATTGGGGAAGCCCCCACTCCACACAGGCAGTGCTGCTGTAGGGTTCTGAGAGTGAGGCCTCAGCTTTCATGGCTGACATCACATCTCCAGGGGCAGCAGATAGATAGATGCTCTCCAGTCAGACCAGATGGTCACTATGGAGAAGCCCCAGAGCTCTCCGTTAACCAAGGCATCAGAATCTCCCAGAAAAGTGTAGAAACTGAGTTTCTGACCCCTCCTCAAGTCTGCTGGTAGAATGTTTAGGGGAGGGTCTGGGAACCTCTGAGGGTTTTGGATTATTTATTTTAGAGCCCTTTTGTTTTTAATATAAAATATTTGTATAAATCTTTGAGGATTTCATACATGCATATGAAGTATTTTGGTAATATCCACCTTATTCCCCTCCCTAACTCTTCCCAGGCACACCCCGTCCCACAGAAATCTGTGTTAAGAGGTCTCAAGTGGGCCCTGGAGACTTGGGACCCTGCACACACATGGGTAGGAAGAGAAGAGGAAGCCATTTAACCTGCAGTGGGAACTCCAATAGCATGGTTCAGTCGTCAAGGACTAAGGCACTTGTGGAGGGCAAGAAACGTCTCTTTTTATAATGCATGGATATAGAAGCTATGCAAAGCAGACACACAATGCACTGTGTGTTATACAAGCTATGCAAAGCAGACATACAATGTACTGTGTGTTGGCATTTCAGGCATGGCTACAGAAAAACCATCTACAAAGGTTCCTTGTGGGGAGACAAGTAAAACAGATTGAGAAACACCGCTCACCACCGACAGGGGTGAAGATGTACAAGACACAGTACTCACGCCCGTGACTAATGACACACGCATAAATGAACACACAAGCACAACCCACACACAGACACACATACATGCCCAGCCCACACCCAGATCTGCACACACAAGCACGTGCATGCACAAATACCCTGGTAAGTATAGCTGGATATAAATACACATTCATATCACACACACACACACACACACACACACACACACACACACACACACCACACATATGCAGATACACTCGGCTGCAGCCCACACAGGCATCAGGAGACTCCAACAGCACTGCAATAGTGAAGAGGAGACTGGGTTAGGATTTTAATAAGCTCTTACACAAATAAATATATAAAACCTGGCTACCAGGGGCTGTGGGCTGCTTCTTACTGCAGTGACGCTCCTGGCCTCTGGTCTCTCACCAACAGACGGGCCATGCAGCTATCTTCACGTGTGGTCACTGTGCTCGCATGCAGGGGAGGGGTCTTCTGAGATGAGTGCATGCCCACGCGTGAAGGAGGGAGGCCCACAGAGGCAGCATCTGGGAAGCATGCGTTGGCACAGGGCAGAGGGGCAGAGGGCAGGGAGGAGCACGGACGATGTCTAGGCTCTCAGAGAACTCAGCCTTCACATCATCAAGTTCTGTTTACCTTTGCCAGAATGTAATAACCACCAGGAATACATTGCTGGATCCATAAATGGACAGATGAACGGAGTCTCAGAATCCCTCGATTCGGCCATGACCTGAGGAACCTGGTGCTCATTTCACAGACGAGAAAGCTGAGGCAGCCCTGCACCTCCCCTGCCCCCAGCATTTGGAAGCTGAACCCAAGCTTTCTGGCTCCCAGGCTGTGAAACAGGTGCATGGGGATGACTCAAGCTGATTTCCCTGTGACCTGCCCAAATCACCCCAGTCACGTGTCACGAGACCCTTATTGGAATCCAGCACCCATGAAAAGACCCTCTAGCGAAGTCCCCAATACCTCCTCCCCACTTTTCACTCTGCTTCTCCCTTGTGCTCCCAAGTGCTTGACCCTCAACCTCTGCTTCCCAGGTCCCTGAGGGCCAGCCAGAGTCAGCAGTACAAAGACGATCAACAATGCTCGCCCAGCACAGCACTCTGACTCAGCCCCTTGGGGGCTGGTGCAGACTGTGTGCCAAGGTTAATTAAACTAGTAATTAGAAGGAGAGATGCTTAATCGATCTGGTTAATAAAATAACCCCCTTGCGGGAGCATGTGGGTGCTGTCACTCTGCCGGGCATTATGGGATCAGCCAAGCATAATGCTCCCTCTGTGACTGGCTCCTCCCCTCCCTGCTCTCCAAGTACCAGAGCAAATCCCTGGGTCCTCCTCAGAGTGGGACCTTGGAAGCAGCTTCAAGGAGCATCAGGCCTGAAGAGACAGCTTGGGTGCTGTGTGCCAAGGTATCAGCAAGATGAAGAGTCCTTCAAACTGTCTTCCCAGGTAGGTGTTGAGGCCTTAGGGCCGCCCATGTCAGCTAGGAGCTTTTCGTGGCCTGCTCTGTACCTTCCCGCCACTCTCTTTGAAGACTGCATCTGTTGGGTCTAGCCCTCACATTCAAAATCATTTCCTCAGTGAGTATCTTTTAAAATTAATTTTTAATTTTACATACTTAACTGGAATACTTTGTTTCATGTTAGAAGAGGGGGAATTAGAGAAAGAGCAGAAGGAGAAGAGGAAGAGGAAGAGGGAGAGCAGGAGGGAGAGGAGGAGGGAGAGGAAGAGCAGGAGAAGGAGAGGAGGAGGAAGGGATCTGCCCAACCGCAGGCTCTCATGGGGAGACCCCGGGTGGTGGTGTGTGGTCCTCTCCCCACATGCAGGCACATATGTGGACGTAGCTCTCCAGGTAGCTTTCCCAGATGGGAGTTGTCGTACTGTTGCCTCCCTTCTTCAGAGTGCTCCCACCACCCCTCATCACTCAAGGACGATATGAAACACTTGCTGTTTTCTTCAATCAGATTTCACCAAGATGGAACTTTCTGGAAGAGGGGAAGAGCCTCCTTTGCCCTGAGGGCCTCATGGTAGAATGGTCTGGGGCCTGATGCCAGGCCTCCCCTCTACTCAGTTCCTCCTCCCTGCTAGTGCTCCTCGCTTTCTGTCTAGTGCTCAGTGATCAGAGCCAGGCAAGGCCGCAGCAGGGTCCCTTCCCTCTCTAGTGCTACCATTCAGACAGCACCAAGGTTCACAGACGCCTGCTCGTGTGCAAGGATGTCACTGGGGACGCCCGATTCTACCCTCACAGCACCCCCCCCCCCCATGCAGCTCAGCTCAAACACAGTCCTCAAAACTCCAGATTCCTCTTCTCCCCTCAAAGACCCGTGCTGGAGGGGCAGACCCCAGTGATCTCCTCTCTGGGGGATTCTGGGAGGGCAAAGGTGCCTGGCATCTTGTCAGGCAAGAGGGACTCATGGAGATCCCTCAGCTCTGGCAACCATGCAGGTGACCCTGCTGACAGGACCGCAAGGACAGGCAGGGTTTCGCCAGCCTTCTAAAGGCTAGTTTAAGGGGGTCAGAAGTCAAGTGAGTTAAGCAACCAGAGCAGATCACACTGAGGCTACAGTGTGGCAGTGGAGTCTGGGGTGCTATCAGCTGTCAGATTCTCAAGTCAATTTCTAGTCTGAAAGGAATAACATGTTTACTCACAAAGGAAAAGACACAAAAGCAGGAGAATGAAGATGGGAGGAGGCAGACGGGCTCAGCCCAGCCTGCTGCCTCGGCGACCTGTGTACTCTTGGGCGGGTCACATCTCCAACAGAGCCCTGTCCACTCCCGCTACACACAGCCACAAGCACACCACCTACCCTCTCTCCCAAGCCGACACCCACCCATCTGTTCATCACTCTCTTTGTTCACTCAAGTCCTGGTTGAGCAGCCTGAGCATGAAGTCTGAAATGCTCCCAAATGCCAAACTTTTCACCCACTAACATGACCACACCGTGAAAATTCTGTGCCATGAAACTTTGTTTCATGTGCAAAATTATTTAAAATATGGCATAAGATTACCTTCAGGCTCTGTGTATCAGGTGCATAGGCAAATGTAAATGAATCCCATGTTTAGTCTTGGGTCTAACCCCAAGACAGCTCATTATACCTGTTCAAATAATCCAAACTAGGAGAAGAAATTCCAAAATCTCAAACACTTGTGGTTCCAAGTATTTCTGATAAGGGTTACTCAGCCTGCATTATCACCTGCCCCTGACGCCACGCCTGGTGCTGGCTGTGGAGTCTGTCTTCTTGGAACAGTGTTCCAGTGGAGACAGGCAACAGGGTGGATGAGAAGTATAAACGAATTCTCGATTGTAAAGAAGATAAGAGAGAGAGAAAGTGGAAAGATGGCATGAAGGGAACGTTTGAGAAAGTCTGCTGCTTCAGCGGACACAGAGACCCTGGGGAAAAACACCAGGGGGGAGGGGAGATAGCAAGTGCAGGGCAGCTCAGCTTGTGGGGATCCAGCTCAGGCTGTTATGAAAGCCAAGGCCAGGCTTTGGTGGAGCGTGTGGAGCGTGTGGAGCTGGTGGGAGGGGGTGGGGGCAGAATTTGAGAGATGTCAGGGGACCCAGATCTCCAGAGTTCTGGAGGTGGAGAAGGAGAGTCTGGGCTCAGCCCGAGAGCCATGGGGAGCCAGCAAAGGCATGCAGTCTGATTGGCACCCTAACCCATCTGTCCAGCTGTTGCCTCGTAATGATGAAAACTGGGGGCTTGTAACTTGGATGGAGCCGAAGTCAGGGTCATTACTGTAAGTGCAAGAGGCCTGTGGTGGAACCACACAGGAAGGAACCACAGGCTGCTGTGGAACACGGCTGAGCGGGAGGCGCAGTGGAGCTCCAGGTTGGAAACGAGGAAGGGATAAGCCTCTGGGCCCGCGAAAGCCACGCTAACACTTCACTTCATTACAGGTGTCACGGGACGCCGTGGAAGGGGGCAGCAGATGGGGCATAGACAAATTGAATTCATTCTAGAAAGAACCATGTGGTGGCTGTGGGAGGATGTGTACCAGGAACCCAGAGTCCACCCTGTGCCCCCAGGCTAGCTGTTCAGCTGCAGGTGCCTGGGAGCAGCTCTGAGCACCCAGGAAAGCAGTATGGACAGCCTTCTGTGGACGCTGTATGGACAGGCTTCTGTGGATGCTGTATGGACAGGCTTCTGTGGACGCTGTATGGACAGGCTTCTGTGGACGCAGTATGGACAGGCTTCTGTGGACGCTGTATAGACAGGCTTCTGTGGACGCAGTATGGACAGGCTTCTGTGGACGCTGTATAGACAGGCTTCTGTGGACGCAGTATGGACAGGCTTCTGTGGACGCTGTATAGACAGGCTTCTGTGGACGCAGTATGGACAGGCTTCTGTGGACGCTGTATAGACAGGCTTCTGTGGACGCAGTATGGACAGGCTTCTGTGGACGCTGTATAGACAGGCTTCTGTGGACGCAGTATGGACAGGCTTCTGTGGACGCTGTATAGACAGGCTTCTGTGGACGCAGTATGGACAGGCTTCTGTGGACGCTGTATAGACAGGCTTCTGTGGACGCAGTATGGACAGGCTTCTGTGGACGCTGTATAGACAGGCTTCTGTGGACGCAGTATGGACAGGCTTCTGTGGACGCTGTATAGACAGGCTTCTGTGGACGCAGTATGGACAGGCTTCTGTGGACGCTGTATAGACAGGCTTCTGTGGACGCAGTATGGACAGGCTTCTGTGGACGCTGTATAGACAGGCTTCTGTGGACGCAGTATGGACAGGCTTCTGTGGACGCTGTATAGACAGGCTTCTGTGGACGCAGTATGGACAGGCTTCTGTGGACGCTGTATAGACAGGCTTCTGTGGACGCAGTATGGACAGGCTTCTGTGGACGCTGTATAGACAGGCTTCTGTGGACGCAGTATGGACAGGCTTCTGTGGACGCTGTATGGGCAGGCTTCTGTGGACGCTGTATGGGCAGGCTTCTGTGGACACTGTATGGACAGGCTTCTGTGGACGCTGTATAGGCAGGCTTCTGTGGACGCTGTATGGGCAGGCTTCTGTGGACACAGTATGGACAGGCTTCTGTGGACGCTGTATAGACAGGCTTCTGTGGACGCAGTATGGACAGGCTTCTGTGGACACTGTATGGTTCTCCCACACCTCCACAGCCTTCACTTGCTGACTCATCCCCAGGGATTAGCAACCTTTGGAGATGCCCCGCTGCTTCTCGCTATCTCCATGGAGTTGTGCAGCCCCGCTCTCCTGGACTGTGCTCCAAGAAGATCCTTTCTCCCAACTCAGGCCCTGCTCCCTGCCCTGTCCTGCCCCACTGTGCCTGTGAGTGTGTGTCCACAGGCCCAGATGCATATGAGTACACGCCTAAGGGTGGCAGGAGAGGAGAGGCGGAGGCCCTGGAAGGGACCTGCTAGAGGAGGGGCAAGCCCCAGAGCTACAGGAACCTGGCTGTCTGGCAGCCTTGTCGGTTCCCATCAGGAGAACCTTCGCCTTGCAGGCTATTTTATCTGTGTTTATTTGTCTGTCTTCCTGTCTTGCTCGATCTTCTCATGTGTCTGTCTCTCAGCCGTCACATGCTCCTCGGCTGGAGCCAGCGGTTCAGAGACAAACTCAGCCTGCCTCCTTCTCCGGAGGCCAGGCTTACACACGCGAGAACCCAGCAAAAGCAGCTCCTGGGCCTCACAGCACTTCACAGTTTGCATTTCTCCAGCCCACGCAAGAGTCTAATTATATCCCTGCCTGTTCCCAAAGGAGTTTAGTCGCTGGCCCTCCGTTTGTTCTTCACAGTGACATTGTGGGTTAAGCTGGCACACACTTAGCTGGGGGCAGCTGAGGAATCCAATGTCAAGGTCACGGAGCCTGTGTGTGCACGGATGTATTCTGTGTGCAGAGGTGTATGCATATGCACAGGTGTGTGCTCAGGGATATGTGTGCCATGTGGTTGTGTGCGTATGCACACGTGTACATTTATGAACACGTGTGCCTTTGTGTGTGCACATGTTTTTGCATGCACATATGTGTATTCATGTGTGTTGTGCATGTGTGTTTGTGCATGTGTGTGCATGCATCTGTGAAGATGTCTTTGCATGAACCCATGGATGTATATGTGTGTATACTCATATAGGATGCATATACCTGGGACATGCATGTATGAGCATGCATTAGTACATGTCCACAGTGTACATATGTGTGTGTGCACACATATATGTGCAAGCATTCATGTGTACACATGTGTGTCCTTTGTGAGTATGCATGTATGCATTTATCAGTGTGTATGCATTGATGTATGAGGTGTATGCCTGTGTGGACATGAATCCCTATGCAAGCATGTGTATGTGCATGTTTGCATATCTGTGTGTGCCTGCATGCGAGCTTGTCACGAGCATCTGTGGTTTTCATTGTGCATTGGCACATGTGTATATTTGTGTCAGTGAGTATGTATGTATGTGAATTTGTGTGCATGTATGTACATGTTTGTGGATGACTTATGTTCGTGTATCTGTGCATACATGTACATGTGTATTGGACATGAATGTATGTGGGCACATTTGAATGTGTATGTGCCTATGTATACACAGTCATATGTCCTCATTGTGCACCTGCTTATGTGTTCATGCATGCATGCTCGCTCATATGTACCTATATACTTTTGGATGATAGTTCTTGTGTGTTCACACATGGATGTATACATGTGTAAACACATCCATGTGTGCACATATATGTTGTCAAATGGTTATGTGGGTGCATTTACCTGTATCTGTGTGTGCATGCATGTATCACCTTCTCACATGATTTTATGTGTGCCTGCACACATGTGCATACACATGCTTTCATGTTCTTGTGTGTATTCCTGTGTGCACACATGCTTGTATGTGTTTGTGTGCGTGTGTATCCATGTGTGTGTGTACACGTGCATTTGTGTACACGTGCTTGTGTAGGGGCTAGGTGGTGAGGGCCAAGTGACCCTCACCCTAACCCTGTCATGAGGACCTGGGGTTGTGGCACAGAAGCAAGGGGCTGCTCAGCTGCCAGCAGGTGACAGGATGACTTGAAGCCAGAGCTGCAACAAAGGAGGAGAATAGGGGGGACAACGAGGCTTGGCAACCGCTCTCCCAGCTGCTCTGGGTTTGAAGCAGGGCCACTGTGCTGGCTCCAGCACAGCGCGAACAGGTGGCCGCAAGATTGGCACAGCCAGGAAAATCCATCTTGTGGGGGCCAGAGCACAGCAGAACAGTGGAGAGGGGAGGGGAGGCAGGGCTGAGGGGAGGGGCTGCAAGGAGGAACCCCACCTCTTGTATGACCCCTCCCCCACACTGATACCTGCTACCTCTGCCCCTCCAAGCCAAGGTACTCAAGAGCCTTCAGAGACAGTGAGCTGCCCTGGTCCCCTCAGCAGTAGGAGCCCACAGGACGACTGCCTCTCCTCTTCCCTGACGTCTATAGCTTTCAGCTAACTAGTACCAGCGGGGCTGCTGACACAGAGAAAACTAAGTACCTTGGGTGAAGGGAGAGGCACTGAGAGCTCCCTGGAGGGCTCTGAACCCAGCACCAGTAGCCGTCGGGACTGAGTGTCCTCAAGTCATGCTAAGGGGACAGATGACTCAGCCTGTATTACAGTTATGTGAACACTGTCAGAGCCCCCTGAGTTCTGTCCACGTGGAACTTACCTATTAGGGGACAGGTCAGAGTCACTTCACATAGCATCGGAGTAGAGAGAAATAACCAAACATTGCTAGAGGTAACTAGGGCTGGTCTTCTGGGTGAGGTGGCCAAGGGGGACTTACCTGAGGACTGTCTGTGGGGTGAGACCTGAATCAAGAGCCCTTCATAAGACTGGACAGAGTACCAGAAGGAATCACGCGCACAAGACCGGGAGCCGAGATGATGTCGGCCTGCTTGATGGGCAGAAGGAAAAACAGTGAGGTTGGGAGCAAGCAGCCCCTGAATCACGCGAGGCTGGCTGATGGCCATGGTAAGGTGGGTGAGGTGTGGGCAGGGTCACCCAGGGACCAGGTAGGAGTGGCTGCTGCTGGCCGAGCGAGAAGGCTGTGCTGGAGGCAGGAGAAACACATGGTGAGAAGAAGCTAGATTTGGAGGCTTCTAAGGGACAGTCCTCAAATACCTGCTCCGGAGGTGGCTACGTGGGTAGAAGGAGGGTCAGGAGAATTAAAGCCAGTTCAGATTTGAGCTAAGGGGTGCATATTTCCTGGACTATGGAGGTCTGGTGTTCTTCTGAAGGAAGGTTGGAACGCCAGACCTTCACTCTCTTCTCCACAACACACGCTTTAAGAGATTCTCACCCTGCCTCTTAGGCCAGCAGAGCTGGAGCAGTACATCGGCCCCTGAGGTGCGCTGGAAACCCAGGGTATACACGTACGCTGTGCACACGCCCTGACTGCTCCCCTGGGCACTCTGAAGAAGTTTGTCCCTTCTTTGAGATGGACGGCACTTTACAACCTCCATATGCTCAGCTTTCTTTTTATTATTTTAATTTCTAAATACTTGGGAAACTTTCCAGCCCTGGCTTCTGCTGTGATTCTGGCGCCAGCAAACACACTTGCTCCCCCACCGCACCCCTTCCTTCATCCTAGCCATAAGGACTTCTCCCAACACAGGGCTGAGGGAGGCTGGGATTCAGGGAGAGAGATCCAGCCAATGTTCCTGCCCTTATGTCTGAGCACAGACACAGCCCTCTGGAGGCCGTGCAGCAGCAGAGGGCTAGCCTGGCCTGCCATGGGGCCCCGCAACAGAGGAACTGCAGGCTTCATCACCCAGCCAAGTCCACATTCACCTGTTACATTAGCCAGACTGCCTCTCTCCTACAGCTGCCTTCCCGTAGGGAATTTCGGAATGTTTTCCCGGGCTCTAATCTTTGTGGACATCCCAGTGTCATCTCTTCTGTCACTGGATCCCTGAGTGTCCTCTGTTACTGGCGGAGTCTCACAATTGGTCTGCTGACATATCCGGATGACCGCATCTCGGCTTGCATAGTGCCCATCGATGGGAATAGTGCCTGGCACAGAGCTGGGCAGGAAGGACTTATTGCATGAATGAATGAATGAATGAATGAATGAATGAATGAATGGACTTCTGTGCTTCCTGTTTATCTCCTGAGCCCCCTTCCTGGAGAAGGGACATGGAAGTGTTCCCGGTAAGGCAAGGCTAAGGCCATAGAAGAACAAGATGCCATTTATCATTAGCCAGTCGCATGGGCCAAGCCAATGCTGTGACCTCATTCAACATGTTATTCCCATTTCAGATTAGAGCTGACCAAAGCTCAAAAGAACAAAAGGGAAGGAGGGGCTGAAGAGCTGGCTTGTAGATTGAGAGCTGAGTGGCTTAAACCACCTGTAACTTCAGCTCCAGGAGAGCTGACACCCTCATCTAGCCTCTGTGGGTACTTGCACACATAAGGCTGTCTCTCTCTCTCTCTCTCTCTCTCTCTCTCTCTCTCTCTCTCTCTCTTTTTTTTAAGAAAGAACAAAGAAAGCCTCCAAAATCAGCCAGCCAGGCAGCCAGCTTCTGGCTTTCCTACCCAGGAGGTTCCCTAGCCTTTCCTACCAGGCTGTAGAAGGACCACAGATAGATGGCCAATTTTCAAAGAACTGAAACACTAAAGTACACTTGTCACCACACTGTTGACACTTTGATGGCTCAGAAAGTGAGTTCAGAGGCAGCTGGTGCACCTCCAGGGAGTCCTGACCTCCTGGCATGGGGTGGCAGCTGTGCAGCGCTGGGTGCCAATTAAGGTCTGGGACCCCGCATCACTGTGCAGAGGCTGCTTTAAAAGTGGGGGGTGCGTCCCACTGTGCACAGCCTCCAACAGGGAGCCTCCAAAACCAGCCTCCACCAGGAGGGGCTGGCAGCACAGCCCATTCTTTGGAGCTGTGCTTCTGCTCTTTGTCTCTGCTTTAGGCTCAGCGCTGGCCATTCCTGCTTCCTGCTTCCTGCTTCCTGCTTCTCCAAACTGCTAACCACCATGGACCCATCAGCATCCTCTGAGTTGTTCCAGCTTCTGGACTTTGCTATACTGCCGGCTCTGTCAGGACAGGGGTTTGTATGCCTGGTTTTGCTAACTCAGGACTCAGCCCAGTGGCTGGCAACAGTGTCACGCCCCTGCAATGAACATTTCTTAAACTCACATCCTTCAAGTCATGCCATCACAGTCACAGTCCTTATCCACCCTACTCGTGTTACTTAAGTATTTCTCTTCCCATCAGCCACCTTTAAAAAACCTAAAGAAATAAAATGTAAAAAGAAGCTTTTTTATCACTGCCGTAAGTGGAAAGCCAATATCACGAGCCATAAATAGAAGACAACTGTTAAAACAAATGCCACAAAACAAAGCAATGCGATGAAATCCGAGCAAATGCCTGGCGCTGCAGAACGTGCCGGGGCTGGGCTGAGGCTGATCTCTTTTTGCCAAATGGGCAAGTGTTGTAAGGCTTTAAAGAAATGCCAGCCCAGACCAAGACTCCTAAGGCAGTCAGTCGAAAGTGTTAGAATCCAATAGGAGTGACCTCCCCGCTACATGATGGCATTCTGGGTACCTCCTAAACTTGTTCCTACCTCCCGGTCCTCATCCTGCACATCGGAGAACATAGATCCTGGAAAAGTCAGAACTCCAAGAGACACATGTAAGAGCTCTATGGAACTCGTGAGTCTTGAATGGACGCGGGGCTAACTCAACTCCAAAGAGCCACCATTTCTCTGGTCCAGAGAAATGACCACCAAGCCCATCTTCCCCTCCTCTCTGGTGCTCCTTGCGACGTTTGCCTGGCAGCAGGCCTTCTGCCACCCACGGCCTTCAGAAGAGTGCTGCCCTCCTGATTCCCGACTCTCCCTTTTGATCTCATGCCACATTTGTAGGATCCTGGGTGTCCATTGCTAGGCAACAGAATAACATAATGAAGTCTCAAAGGGACCCAGGGCCGAAAGGAGGTGTGCTAAGAGGGGGCCACTGTTCACTCAAGGCTGAGCAGAATCTGCTGCTGGAATCCAGAGGACAACTTTGTCCCTGCCTCCGCCAACAGAGCTGGGGGGGGGGGGAGAGGCAACCCCACATGCCCTCCTGTGCACGGTGCTTAGCCTGTGCATTTCGGTCTTCTTCAGGACCCTCCTGCAGTTCTGAAAGAACTGAGGTTCTGAGGCTTGACTCAACAGAGGCTCAGTGAGCTTACGTCCAGCCCCGACTCTACCAGCTGCACCACTGATCTGACCAACCCCAGTCACACTCCGCTGATGCCTGGAGTTCGGGCAGCACTTTCTCAAAAGCTACTGGTGTACAGTCTCTACAGGAGACTATGGCCTCTGAGGGGGACTCCATTTTGCTGTGCCTGTGAGGGTGTCCACCTCAAGACCGATGGCACCCGGCTTGTTCCCTCCCCTTGTCTTGCCGCTTTGAGCCAAAGGCAAAGTCTATGGCTGCTAATCAAGGCGTTCAAGACAGCATGGACTGACCTGACCATCATTTAATTACATTCTTTCCTTGCAAGCCTGTCCAGGAAGTACCAGGGGCCTGGTAGGGAACAGCTGGAGCTGGCAGAGTTCACAAGGTCACTGCCCATGGGAGGCCCCAGCCACCCTTGGGTCCCAATGCAGGCATGTAGGGGGTTTCCTATTGCTGGGCATGAAGCTACTGCCACTGCCCGCTGCTCCAAATGGCTCCACAGCCATAAAGCAGCTGAGGAAAAATGACGGCGGGGAAGGGAAACGAGCCACGGAGGAAATTAGCTCTCACTCGGGGAGACCTCGGCTTTCTGCTGACAGAGGACTCTACCCTATAAAGCCAAGAGCTTAAACTCCACTCTTACAGTAATTACCATGCTGAAGGCACCTCTGCCCTTGGCCCAGGCCCGGATGGCCCCTTCCAGGGCACTGAGAGAGACCCACAGCCTAGAGCTGGAGTCCAGGGAGCAAGGGATGGGAGGGAGGTTTGGTGCTGGAGCCGGGATCCCCTTCATAGAGAAGACTATCTAATGGATGCTAGAGCCCATTGTGGCCTTGGGGACCAGGCACTCCACCCTCCTCACTTGACAGATGAGGAGCCTGGAGACTCAGAGAGACTTGGTCACTAAGTGAATGAAGGTCACCCAGTCCAAGACCAGATCAGATCAAAAGAGCCATTTCTGTCAAGTCCTGCCCCCAATATGCATATTTCTTGTAGACTGGGTCCAAGCTAGGCCCAGTGAACACAAAAGACAGAGTGCTGGCCTCAATTAAAACATTGTGTCTTTTTCCTTTTCCTGGTGGTGCCATCCCACAGCAAAGCTCTGTCAGTGTGGGCTCTCTGGCAACAGCTACTCTTAGGGAGCCAGTTTGGGGGATTTTGAAGATGCCCCTACAGAAGGGTAACAAGCTCTGCACATCTGTCAGGGGTAGGCACCCCTTCTGGGGAGGGTCTCTGCCATCCTACCCCTGAATCCAGGCTGCCAAATGGGCGCGGTCACAGGTGCAGATGTAATGTGATGGTTTAGGTCTGGGGTCAGGACAGGTGGCTCTCTCTTGCTTCCGGTCAGGTCACAGAGAGCAGCCTGTGTGGATCCTTGGAGCAGGGACTTGCTGCAGTCATCTGTTTCCTATGTAAGTGTCTTCTCCCCGAATAAAAGCCTATTAACCTATGTTGAGCCTAGTCCCGAGAATCTCGATCCGGGCATCCACACCCAACCGAGCCAGCGTTTGTCTCTGCGCAGCTTGGGACTGCACACCCCCAGCTCCTAGTAGGGACATCTGTTGTTTTTCCCTACAAACATGTCCCTCTCTGTGGACTACGCCTTCCCCTCGCTAGTCCTTGAGCTTCTGAAGATACTGGTCCCTGGGGGAGGGACACACACACCTCAGGATTGGCTAGTGTTGTTCTTATCACCCTGGATACCAGGGCAGTTCAAGACTGTATGGGGAACTCAAAGCCCAATAAAAGAGAAATCAGCAGGAAGAGGGCCTGTTCTTCCCACTGGAGCTGCTGGCCAGAGGCGCAAGGCCAGAGGGGCTCACCGTTTGGGAATGATAGCAAGGCAGAGGTGCCCGAGCCTGCGGCAGGCACACACAGCTTCCTGATGGCTGCCGAGCAGCTAGATGTAGCCAAACCTGAAGTCGGGAAATGAATATCGTTATCCCTCAATTACTCCACAGTTTCACCCCACCTGACACCCCGTACTTTCTGTCACTGACTCTCTCCATGTCTTCCTAATGAGGACCCCTGAACCTGCCTGGGTCTGAGTTTAGTCTGTCTACAAAGCAAAGAGCTAGGTCTTTTTGCTGGGTTTGAAGATTCTGTGGCCTGTCACCCTGGGACTGTTGGAATGAACAAAAAAGGAGTGTGTATACACTGCTTTCTGCTTTCCCGTTGGTTCCAGCAAACATCCCTACCTCGCCACTGGATCTCCGTGGGGGCGGAGGGGGCGTGTATGGACATGGGACCTACCTAAGGCTTGGTCACACACAGCGTGCCATCTCTGACACGGCCAGGATGAGCATGTCATCCTGAAAACCAAGTCCCTCATTTCATCTGGGGTTGTTGAGCCTGTAGGATATAAATCTAGAGTTACCAAGGACCACCATGGAGCGATGGCTGCCAAAGTTTTCTTGCTCATTCTCTTAAAAATATTTTTAAGAATGTGTGTGTCTGCTTATCTGTTTATGCACAACATGTGTGTGGGTGTTCCAGGAGGCCAAAAGGGATAGCAGATCCCCTGGAGCTGGAGTCACAGGTGATTACGAACTGCCAGTGTGATTGCTGGGAGCTGAACCCCAGTCCCCTGAGCCATCCCTCTAGTTTCAATCCCATTGTTCCTTGAGTCAGTCAAAATGGAGCTTCTTTATTTCTTTTATTTTTATTTTTTTGAATATATATGTAAATGTGTGGGATCCATATGTGTTAGGGTGACAGGTGTGCATGTGGAGGCCAGGGGTCCACCTTGGCTGTCATTCCTCAGGAGCTGTATTCATCAGGGATCTCCAGAGAAACAGAACTGATGGAAGGCATGCATATATATGAACATACATATACATGAGCATGCATATATGAACATACATAAATATGAGCATACACATATACAAGCATGCATATATACAAACATAGATATATACAAACATACATGTATATGAGCATACATATATACAAACATACATGTATACGAGCATACATATATACAAACACATGTATACGAGCATACATATATACAAACATACATGTATACGAGCACACATATATACAAATACATGTATACGAACACACATATATACAAACATACATGCATATACACATGCATATACAGACATGCTCATATATGCATAAACAAATACAATGCACATGTATGTGCATGTAACATATAAATGTAAGCATATAAACTAAAAGGAGGTTTATTAGATTGGCTTATAGGCATGGCCCAGTGGCTGTCTCACAGTGGAGCAGAGGGGAATCTGGTAGTTTCTCAGTCCACAAGGCAGGCCGTCTCCACAATCCCAGACCCACACTGAAGGCCTGGGAGATCCCAGGGCAGCTTCGGCCTTTCAGCCTTCCCGGGTCACCACAGAAGCAGTTCTAATACCAGCAAAGGAGTGCAGCAGCAGCAGAGTGGGGGCTTGGCAGCAAGAGTGACAGCAAACTGACAAAAAGCAAGCTTCCTTCTTCAGAGTCCTTTCAACCAGTTGTCATCTCAGAAGGTGGCACCACACTGAGAAGGGGTCTCCCTGCCTCAGAGAACCTGATCAAGAAGCCCCCTCACAGGAGTGCCCAGCCGTTGGCATTCCAGTTGATAAGAGACCCAGGCAAAGGTGGTGGCAAGGTTAGGCGTCACAGGGCCCTCGCTTGTTATTGGAGACACAGTCTCTCGCCGGCCTAGGCTCAGTGACGGGGCTTTCACTGGCCCTGCCATTTCTACCCCCTTGGTTGGTACACTTGAGCCACTGTGCCTGGCCACTTTCACCTGAATTCTGGGGATCAAGCTTAGGGCCTGATTCTTGCACGTCGAGCACTGTTGACCGGCTGTGCTAGCTCCAGCCGCAAACTGGCCTTCGGATTGTTGTGAACCAGGAAGTACTAACTAATATGGAAATTGTCTCAGGAAACAATGATGATACACTGGGTACGGTGGTGCAGGCTCTTAGTCTCAGCACTCAGGAGGCAGAGGCAGAGGCAGGCAAAGCTCTGTGAGTTCAAGACCAGCCTGGTCTACATAGCAAGTTCCAGGACAGCCAGGTCTATGCAGTAAGACCTCTAATAAAAAAAGGGGGGGGAGAGAGAGAGAGACAGGGAGGGAAGGAGGGAGGGAGGGAGGGAGGCAGAGAGAGAATAACAGGTGTGGCATTAGCCTGTAAGCCTGGCGAGCACCTGGAGGTGAAAAGAGATAGAAACAGCAGGACCAAGAATTCCTTCTGCGCTACACAGAAAGACCTTGTCTCAAAAAATAAACAAAACAAAACAAAAAATAGAAACTAATTATATTTAATAAGATGCCAAAGTCATAAATGAATGTTTCAGTAAACAACATAACAAAAGCACAACCAAGAGAGACTGGCCTCCTTGTATGAGCCGACTAATATGTGGGGTAAACAGATGGAGCTTTTATTTTGCTCCTTTGGTATACTCTGTAACTCTAAGCTGCCACATTAGGCTCTGCTCAGTTTTGTGCAATGACTCAGATTTTTTTTTTCCCTCACATGTGGAAAAAACAGAAGGCACCTTCAGCGGGCAGAACCAAGAGGACAGATGAGCATCCTACCTCCACGCCGAGGGCCACAGCGAATGGGACATCTAGGCAGAGCAGGGGCCCTGCCTCAGGGGCCTCATACCCACCTGTTCTGTTCCGGTGCCTTGCCGAGTCCCACACAGCTCCAGGTAGTTCATGCCATAGCCTCCAGTATGGTACCCTCACCCACACATCCAACATGGCAGCCCTGCTGGCTCTGAGCTCCTGAGCATGGCTGGCAGGGCATCCAGTTAGAGGCATGTCACTCAGGGAGAGAACCAAGGCCAAAGTCAACACACTGACTGTAGAGCTCTGTTTATCTCTGTTTCCCATTTGTGTAGAAGGGAAACAAGACACAGACTGCTTTGAAATTCCTCTAAAGGAAGTTGCTGACATCTCTGTCTGTCTGTCTGTCTGTCTGTCTGTCTGTCTGTCTGTCTGTCTCTGTCAGGCAAGCTGCCATTTCCCTGCCCACAAGCTCTCAACAACTACTGTTCTAGGTTGCTCTCTGTTGCTGTGATAAAGTGCTCAGACCAAAAGCAACTTGGAGAGGAAAGAATTTATTTGTCTATGCTTTCAGGTCACAGTCCATCACTGAGCGAAATCAGGGCAGGAACCTGGGGGCGGGATCCATGAAGGATGCTGTTTGCTGACTCTCTCACTGGCTCATACTCAACTACCTTTCTTACACAGCCAAGACCCACTTGCCTAGAGATGATGTTACCCTCAGTGGGCTGGGCCCTCCTGCATTAAGAAAATGCCCCACAGACCAGTCTAGTTGAAGCAATTCTTCAACCGAGATTTCCTCTCCCCAGGTGACTTTGGGCTGTGTCATGTTGGCAATAAAAACTAACAAGGACAGCAAACCTCTTCCAGAAGCACTGAAGCCACAGTCCAAATATCTTGGGGGCTCTCTCCTGCCTGCTTCCTTCTCCAGCTCCAAACATTCTTGCTGTTTGATGCTTCCTGGGGTCATCGGAAGCCTTGTCTGTTCTCATGCTGCACTGTCCTAAAAACCTTGGGGCCATGTGGGAGTATGCTCAGAACTTGTAGCTGTAACATGTAGCAGCCCCTTTGCTCCCCAAATCTACTTGGAAGCCATGCTCATTGCCACCCTTCCAGGGGTGAGCAAACAAGTTGTTAAGGGGGCCAGGGGACTCACTCAAGGCCATTACTGAGTGGAAATGTCCCTGCATCCTATAGAGTTCAGATGGCAACTTTAGAGACGTTTTTAAACAACCACACCCTGTGACAGACAGGAAGACACGGAGCTGAGATCCTGAGGGAGGCCAACGAAGGGGGCCTTCGCACAGGCATGCAGGCTAGACTAGGAGGGAAGTCATAGGCATGTGGAAACACTGTGAAGACACCACACCGGATGCCACTGCCACCCTACTTGGGAAAGGGAAGGAGCAATGTGACAGAGCTGGAAGAGACACAGCAGTGACAGCCACTTGGCAGGTGCTGGTGTGAGAAATACCACCCAGACAAGGAGAATCAGGGAGGAGATCCCTGCCCCGCCCAAGGATGGCAGCCTCAGGCTCATCCTAAACATAAATAAGCCAGGGGACCAGGGAGCCTGGAGTTCAAAGAGGTCGGGCTCCTCGCCTGGGGCTCAGAGCAAGAGAGAAAAGAAGGCAGAGAGCAGGGCAGCGAGAATGACGCGGGATTCGCTTCTGGTTGTTGCTGTAGCTTGAGAATTACAACACCCACTTAAGGCAGTACTCCATAGCTAGCCGTGGTTTCAGATACTCACAGGAGCTTCGAGCCAAATACATTAAACGAGAAGTTCCAGACCCAGAGCGTTTTCAGTCACAACAAATTCAAAACATAAGAAGATGAGGGTCACCAGGGCACAAAGTCTGAGGGCCAGGATGGGCAGGGCACGACACTGGGGGGCTTCACAGGAAGAAGGGGAACATGTATGTAATACAGTTTCAGGCTTGTGGGCCATGGGGTCTCAGGTGAGAAGGGACTACTGTGCCACCGGCTTGGAAGCCATTAGTATAAACTAAGTCTCCCCACTAAGGATAAGGGTCAGGTCGGGCTGTGTCAGTTGAATTCTGTGGGTCTCAGATGCAATGCCTTATCTTACTGTGGATTGCCTGGGTGGCCTGACTTCCCCAGTCCCTCATCTTCCCGAGACACTGGGCCAGTAGGGTGGACCCATCCCAGAGAAGGTCAAGTGTACAAGAAAACACGTGGTCCCTCATGAGGTTGGCTTCAGGTTTATCGCTTCCACCTATCTACGGTTGGCCAAAGCAGCTCCTGTGGGCCAAAGCCAAGAGCTAAGGAAAC